AGGAATGAGCGAACTGAAATATGTATGTTCTAGTAGCTCCAAAACAAGATGTCATAGACAAACTTTGAGACAAAGAAGTCAATTAATTAGAAAGTTGAAATTAAACCGCCTAACCTTAACAAATTATTCGATTGAAAGTTGTAATTGTCAATGACAATGAAGATCTAACCACTCGACACTAACCAAGATTTATATCTAGTAATCAAGAATCATAATGTAGCTTAATAAGACAAGTAAAATGTAAATGCAAATTCATCAAATAATCTCTTTGATAGGCATCACAATAAACCAGAATCCCAAAACTAAGCCAACAAGCTTCTTGTATATTAATATAGTATAAAAGCATAAGTTCAATCAACATACTGAAATTACTATTATGATTAAAGACTTCCATACACACTAAAACAATAATAAAGATGAAAAGAATAATATAAAACACAAAGATTTGATGTGATTCACTTGAACAGATAAATTAAGCTACATCCCAAAAAAACTAGAAATAAAGTTTATTAATAATATTGAATAAGGCTACAATCATACTAGGAGATCAACCTATAATAAATGTTAACTTAATTTCTTCCAAAATGGGGATGATGGACGTATGATATGACCAACATAAGTTTGCCCATGATAGTAGATGTTAGGGTCAAGATCCCCAACCCTTTTCAAGATCTCGGATCTTCAAGAACTTTCAGGATCTCGAACATATATCAGGATCCTGACCATTATTATTATTAATATTATTTCATAACATTTCTAATCAGGCCAAATACTCGGGAATACCAAACAAAACCAATGTGTTCATTTTTTTTGAGATGATCCCAAGAATATCAGACTTATTGTTACTTAGAGTAGATTATAAATACACATGTATTTGTTAATCTTGTTCTAGTTTTAATAATCAATTTATAAATAACACCACAACCTCTCATACAAATTTGTTAATATTTACTAGTCGATTTTTTACTAAAACAATTTGGCGCCCACCGTGGGGTTGTGGTGTTTATAATCCTCGAAAATCATGTCTACACAATTGTTAGGGATAGGATCTCATAGCTACAATCAGGATCCTCAAAACTTAGGATCCCAAACATACTTCATGATCTTGACTATTTTTTTCCAAATATTTATAATAGTTATATAGTCTATTATCTCTCTCACATGTGTAGAAATAATCAATCAAACACTTATTCTCAATGAATAATCGTCACAACCATGCAAAAGACCCAGAAGACCAAGTCAATTAAGGTTTATAAGTTGATGTCGGAGGATCCCGGAATTCTCAGAGTTATTGTTATTAGCTTTAAACTATAAAAATCACTTGTATTCATCACACTACACACGAGACTTAGCATAAAAACAACACTTGTACTTACACCCTGTACATTTTCTCTTTAATCGACATTTTAATCAATAAAATCATCAATGGAGGTGATCATTATCACCTCCTAAGGTTTTATGCCAGAGGTCTTAGCAATGATCAAGGGCTTTCCTTGTAAACAAATTGTGTCACTTTGATTAACTTTTTATACTTACATTATTTTGAACATCACAACCTCTGATACACTTTGGTCGATTCTTTTTTGTTCATTTTTTGACCATAAGAATTTGGCACCCACCATGAGGCCGTAGTGTTCAAAATCCTTCAAAAAAAACCATGTCTACTCAATCGAATCTATCCTCTTCTTCGATTCCTCCCATTTCCTCCGCAAACCTTCCACCACCGCTGACTGGAGCTCCCAAAAAAGTCCCAGAAACACTTAAGAAAAACACCTCCCCAGTCGTTACCCCAGGACTCCAGGATCATTTTGTGTTGATTTCTAACAACAAAATCTTTGCTATAATAAAGAGATTAGAATGAAAAGTCGCCTAGAAGCCAGAGGATAACAAGACAATTCTCAAAGAAGTGCTAAGAATGAGGACATAAATCCACAAGCCTTAGGAGGTAGTGCCCTCGATCTTGTAGCCGAAGATCCTGAACTTTGATAACCCGTTATCCTCAGCAGTTTCTCAAGAGATAGGATCCTCAATACTGACCTTTTTTCCCGCTTGGGGAGCGAATCTGAGAAACCAAGCCCATACAACCTATGATCCCAACAAAACCTTTGTTACTCCTAATAACAAGAATCTTGGTAACCCCGTCAATTATAATATCTTTACTACTAACTCAATGGATCTTGATATAGGTTTAAGGCCAATCATGGCTAAGGAACTACAACAACCAAAACAAATGATCTCAAGCATAACCTGAGTAGTTTATCTTGTACCGAAAGTATTCCCCAGAGCCACTGGATCTCCAGATTCATTCCAGCAATAGCTGATAACGAAGTCCCGAAGCGCTTTCACACCGCCAACATGAAGCCTTATGACTAAACTACAAGTCCTGAGGAGCACATGGCACAATACAAAGAGAGGATAGAGAATACTCCCATCCTTACTTACTTGAGAGAAGCTTGCCTATGCAAGGGTTTTGGTTCTACCCTCACAGGATCAGCTCTAAAACGGCTTCTTAACGTTCCTCCTTATTCGCTTACATCATTTGCACATTTAGTTAATTTATTTAAAAATCAATTTTCTTGTAGCAGAACATTCGAAAAGATCACTAGAGATCTCTAGGACTTTTGTGAACAGGTTTTTGTAGAAGTGATTTAACCGAGTATAATAGAAATCATAGTAATCAAAGTATATGAACACAAGGAGTAAATAAGATCTTGTTTATAGCTAACTTATACTTCCGAATACAAAGAGAATGTTTAGACAGAAAGCTTGGAAACGTTCTATCTATCCCTAAGTACAACACCTATTTATAGGAGAATTAGAAAGTATACAAAAAATATTATGGACTAAACATCAAACTTCGAAATACAAAATGCCTTAATAAATTGATAAAAGACTTTCGAAACTGCGAATACAGACTTCGACACATTACAATATATTCGAAACTAACATTATCCCCCTTTGTAATAAGTGTCGAAGTCTAGTAAAAGGTTAAGATGTCCTAACCCCAACCTCAACACTTTTTTGCGTGTTCCCTGAAGCTCTGAAGCATTTAACTCCTTGAGAATGTATGCAACATGAATAAGATCCTTCAAGTTCATTAGTGGAATATAAGCAATGGAGAAATTACATGCAACCTTGTTAGCCCTTACAACATGATATCTGAAATTTTGAAGCATATTTTAAAACAGTTCATCCTTTGTCACACTTATTACTTGCACAATCTTCACAAGTGACCAAAATTTCTCCTGCTCTTTCCCTAAAACCGCATGAAATCTTAGCTTCATGTGTGTAAAATCATCTGGATTCTTGAATCTATCAACAAATTTGTATTGAGCAGTAATAAACATCATCTCATTCATTGGGAAATCTAGTTGATTCATTTCATAATTTTCGATAGAATAACTTTTTCTAGGCTTCTTATCGAAATCATGCATTTCGTTATATGCCACCCTTGCTTAAATGTTTTAATAATTGTGTAGTTTCCTTGGATCCCGTTTGTTAAGATTTGGAGGATCATTCTGACGAAGTCTTAAAATACTTTGGATTTGCCTTTGCTTTTCCATCTCAGCCTCAACCTCTACCTTCCTTTCTTCTTTTGATTTTTCCATAATAACCTTTTTCCCTCTGTCTTGAATCGTTAGAATTTCTTTACGTTTCGAAGTACTCCCTTCTCCACTTGTTCCAATCATAATGCCTTTTAAAATTTGCCTTATATTAGTAATAGTTGAAACTCTAGGATCAGCCTTCGACAGCATTGGCTTTGATGAAGGAATATTTGTTGTAAAGAGTTTACCAACAACCTTAGCTTCATCTCCATTTTTCCCAGAAGCTCCTTCACAAACATACTTCCTTTCTCCCGCTTACACCCCTGTGACAACAGGTGGGGCATTTATTGGTAGAAAATTGACATGATGAGACAACGGGCCTAATTGTTTGTGAAGAACAGATTCAAATAAGAGAAATTTTTGAGACAAAAACTAGTGAGTGATCAAAGGAGAAGACCCTGGCTTCGAAACGAGTTCTTTTAACTTAGTCAACAACTTGTTAGTTTCCAAAAAACTCTGAACTTCATCTCTGGACATTTGTTCAACCATGGGACCAAGGACTTTATATAACTTGACAAATTTTGTAACTGCATCTACAATTATGTCCATTTTCTGATTTAAAGAAGCATAATCCTGTTGAACAACTTCTATCTCCTTGCTCATATCCTCTTGTAGTTCTTGAATTTTGAAGTTCACATCCTCCCTTACCTTCTTGATATCTTGAATGAATAGAATGTGACGTTCTTTTGAAACAACTTTCATTTCTTTAAGATCAAAAGAAAATGTAGATAACCAATTCTTCACACGCTTCTCATTATTTCTGTCAACATCAGAAATTGCCTCATGAAGACGACCTTCTTGAGTTTTGAGTAAAAGATCAACTTCCAAACTGGACACCGGATGCTTCCCTCCTCCACCGGCTTGAATTTGTGATAACGAATTAAGCTTCTGATTCAGGATTTTGAATTGTTTTCTTATGAGTATCATAGTTTCTAGAATTTTCTCCCATTTTGGATCATATTGGATATCACCAAAAGTGCCAGCAAAAACATTCTCATCATCATCAGATTAAGGATGGGCTTCTGCATGAGTAAACAGATGTTCAGTAGATTGTGAAGAAAATAATGATGTAATTCGTTGATTGAGAATATTATTAAAAGTGGGTGAGTTGGTGTCAAGGGAAGTGTTAAAAAAAGGGGGTAATTTGGTTGAAGTATCAATGGTGGAAGTTTCGAAGAAAGATGATACAATTATAGGAGTACCTTGAGGTTGTGTAGTTTCGACATTTGTTACCAAAAGAAGAGAAACAATGAATGGTTCTGGTTGAGATACTTACGAAGATACAACAAGCATTTCAACATTGGAAGTGTCTTGAGATGTTGTCATTACAGGATCCTTAAGAACATCTTCTTATGTAATTTCGTCATTTATCACCAGCTTTCGAAGTTTCATTTTCTATTTCTTCGAAATGTGTTTCGCCATATCTTCAGCTTTGTGTTTCTTTGATGATGGAGAAATAGGAACTAGAATTTCACGAAGCACTACACCCTTTCTTATGACATGTGGCTTGGAAATCATTGGAGAAAAACTTGGAGTTCGGTCAGAAGAACTTCGTGACTTGTGGGAAATATTCTTGATTTGCTTGAACACCCCACTTTTCGAAGGAACCACTTCCTTTGGGGGTTCATCAATTTGTGGTGCAATTGGTGTTTCCTGAGGCTTAGAAACAGCTACGTCTTCTGTTGGTTTCTTTTTCGGAGACTTTGATAATTTCTTCTCCTGAATAGGCTTCGAAGGATTCTCCTCAACCTTCTTTGAACGTCTCGACCGCTTGGAAGAACCCTCTTCAGATCGTTGCAACAGAACACCAGTCTCGATTGAGGGATTGATAGTCTTCAGGTAAGCTTGTGAGACTGAGTTTGAAGGATCTACCTTTTTAAGCATGCCATCAGGAATCCTAGCAACCATAGAAAATTCCTCAGCATTATCATCAAAATCCTTTGGAAAATTGTACTTCGAAAATTCTACTGTGGCCTCATCATTTGGTACCAGTATTCCTTCCTTTTCATATGTAAATTAAATAATTAAACTCCAGGATCTTGTATATGAAATTCCATTCACCACGTTGGTATTTTTCACACTTTTCAGAAACTCCTTCCACATATGAGTAACATAATCCAAAGGAATATCATAATACATGCCAGCCACCATTGCATAAACTTCCAATCTCCCTTTGTCTAGGCCTACATTCCAACTAATATGGCATCGAAGATATATTCCACAAAGAAAATTCCAAATACAAGGGAGGCCTGACTTATTGAACTCACTGATCTTAGTAAGAAGGGGTTGATAACCCATCTCGTTGAACATATGGAGGACTTGATCATTGGTGACTTTGTAGAAAGGAGGTGAACTGGTTATTTCAAGGATTTGGCAAAAACGATTCTTAGACAATCAGAACTTCTTTTCATTGACCAAATTGAAGGTGATGACATTCAATGTCTTGTTGTATGTGGCCATAGAACCTGCAAGTGATAACCAAGACATTGGAACTTCATATGAACTGAACATGGCAATCTTTAGAACTGACTATTGTAAGGCCACGATTAACATCTATAACTCTTCAGGATAAAATGAAACATCACTTTCGACTTGATAATCTGTGTTTTGGATTTTCATGATAGGTTGGGAAGAAACATGTTATGTGGTTTGAGATAGAGCATCAACAACAGCGAGATTTTCCATGATTAGGGTTTGAAGATGGATAAAGAAGACAAAGATTTCTTTTGCAATTTTGGGATTTTTCAGAAAGCATAATTGTGTAATGAACCTTTGAAACCCTTATTATAGTTAACCCTTGAATTTGAATTTGAAGCGGGATCAGTATTTAATGATAGTTGATGTGGCACCTTGAAAATCGCACCCACACACTGATAGTATTGCCGTGCGTGATAAAGTAACCATCATGTCTCCTTGAAACTCGGACAGAATACAAAACGTCATGTCAAACAGCCTGGTAACTTGCCCCAATGAAATGTTAACCATCAAAAAACTTCGGAATGGAGCTTAGGCTCTTTCACTTTTGGGTTAAAAAAAGTGAAGTCATATGCCAGACTTTCGAAATCATCAGCCTGAGTTGGTAAAACTTAGAACCTTAAGGATTTTGTGAGTGTATTGTACCAATGAAAAAGATGAGAATCAAATAAATAAAAATTTAGATCTGTGATGTCGAAAAATTAAATTTTCGACACAAAAGTAGATGAATCCCGGGAAAAGATTGCTTCGTTATTAATCAAGAGAGATGACTAACAGCTTGTGTGGTTTCCCGTGAAGTGAAACCGAATACTTGTAGAAAAGTATCGAAGGGCCTCTTTTTAAAAAGCTTCATGGGTGGTTTACGATTTTGTTACATATCAACACTTAACATAAATGTGAGTAATTGTAACAGAAATTACTTGTTTGACCAGTGTAGTCAGTGACAAGTAGGCTTTGTAAAATTTTGATAATTAACTCAAGAAACAAATAATACTCACACGAAAATCATATCCAAGAAAACAAAACATCACCTGGATCTTGTGGGGAAACAAATGTCGGGGGTTTCGAACATTTAATCAAGACCACTCAAAATGATTGAATATAATTTGGAGTATCGAAGATGGTTACAGAAACAAATGTTTTGTTAAATCTGGAACAATGTTCGCCATCAATTCCTTAAAGGGTTCGGTATTTAGGGTTTTACTTTCATCACAGTTTCATGATGTTAGATCATTAACACAGAATGTTGATATGTCTAAATCCTGGTTGGTTTTACTAGAGATCTCTTGGGCAATGTCATTGTGTGTGAAAGTGTAAGAACTTTGAGATGAAAAAGATTGGTTAAAGAAATTTAAATGTACCACTGCTATTCATTAGACCAAGCGGATTACTCTTAACTCATCTGAGTAGAGTATGGTAGTTCATGGACTAATGTGAATACAACCTAATTGGGTAGAAATTTCCATGATGAAAACTTCATTAAGGCTTCTAAATTACACATTGAGTCAAAAGAGGCTTGAGTCAACATGCTGCAGGATGCTTCTAGAGACATTGTAACTAGTACAAAGTTTTTCAAAAATATACCTGACCTTAGAACTCCGAGCATGAACCATCAATGATCTTTACTTTAAGCTGTAAGAATAACAAGAAAACCAACCAACGAACAAACAAGAAAATCTTTTTGGAGTTTTAAATTTTTTGAAAATGAAAGAAAAAACAAAAATAAAATCTTTTTGGTGTTTTTGATTTTTCGAAATATAAGGACAAAATGAATATAAAATCTTTTTGGTATTTTTGATTTTTCGAAATATGAAGACAAAACGAAAATAAAATCTTTTTGGTGTTTTTGATTTTTCAAAATTTTTTTTTTCGAAAACAAGAAAAGTAAATATACCAAACTCATGAATTTTTTTTCATTTTATCCATTCACCAAGATGTCGAAAGCGAAGTGTTTACAACACTAACCATTGACTCCGACAGCTGTCATCCTTTTTCACCTTATCATTCTTTGGAATCACATCCTGGAACTAAACCTCCTTCGATCATTCCTAATCCTACTAAAATTCGATCAAATGATTTTTCATCAACTGGCTTTGTGAAAATATTAACGACTTGATCAGTTGTTTTCACAAAATGAACTTCGATATTGCCATCGTCAACATGATCTTTTATAAAATGATATCGAAGAGCAATATGTTTAGTTTTTGAATGTAGCACAGGATTGTGAAAAATGTGTATAGCACTTTGAGAATCACAATACAATGAAAATTTCTTCATATTGATTGCATAATCTCGCTGTTGGCTTTGTATCCAAATAATTTGAGAAGTGCAAGCTGCAACAACTACATATTCTGCTTCTGCCGTCGAAATCGAAACACATTTTTGCTTCTTCGATTGCCAACTTACCAACTTCCCATGAAGTAGTTGACATCCGCCACTTGTTCTTTTTCTATCAAGATTTCATCCTCTTAAATTAGCATTAGAAAATGCTTGAATGAAGAATGCTATTTTCAAAGGAAATCACAATCTTAACGAAACAAAAGCTTTGAGATATCGAAAAATATTCTTCACTGCTGTGAAATGTGGTTCTCGTGGATTCGATTGATATCTATCACAATTAAAAACAGATAACATAATGTCAAGTCGACTTGCTGTAAGATAAAGCAATGAACCTGTCACGCTTCTGTATAAAGTAAGTTGAACATCAGGTTTATCTAACGAAGGTGTGACTCTTGTTCCAACCGCCATTGACACTCGCAATTTTGTGCTATTCCTCAAGCCAAAATTTTCAAGTAGATTCATCGTTTATTTTTCTTGATTTATAAATATTCCTTCTCTGCTTTGATGTATATTCAATCCAAGAAAGTTGTTAATTTTACCCATCATACTCATCTTAAATTTTCTTTTCATCAGATTTTCGAATTCACTAGAAAAAGCACAGTCAGTAGAGCCAAAAATAATATCATCAACATAAATTTAAACGAGCATTAGATGATCCCTAACTTTCTTTTGAAATAGTGTGGGATCAACTGATCATTGTTTTAATTTTGATTGTTTTATGAAAGAAGTTAAAGGCCCATACCATGCTCTTGGTGCTTGTTTTAACCCATACACTACTTTATCTAGAATATAACATTGATTAAGATATTCTTCAATTACAAAACCTGGAGGTTGTTACACATATACAGTTTGTTCGAGTTCACCATTTAGAAATGCACATTTGACATCCATTTGATATACATCGAAGTCTTTATGAGCTGCATAGGCTAAAAATATTCTAACAGCCTCGGGTCTTGTGACAGGGGTAAAGGTTTCTTCATAATTGATACCTTCTTGTTGCGAATAACCTTTTACAACTAGCCTAACTTTATTTCGAACAGTATTACCATCTTTGTCAGTTTTATTTTTAAAAATCCATTTTAATCCGACAATTGAAACATCTTTTGGTTTAAGAATTAATCTCCGAACCTTGTTTCTTTCGAATTCAGCCAATTCAGATTGCGTTGCAACAACCCAATCAGAGTGTTCCATTGCAACCTTACCTGACTTTGGGTTAATTTTCGAAATAAAAGCATTAAACATGAAAAAATCTTGATGAGTATTAAGTACCTCATTCTTTGCACGTATTTGAGCTCTTGTCTGCACTCCTTCATGTGGATCTCCTATCACTTGTTCTTTAGGATGACTTGTAACCCATTTATCCGTTGGAGGATATGCTGGATCAAAATCTAATGGTGCATCTTCGAACATTTCTTCTATTTCGGAACCTATAACAGAAACATTATCAGTTAGATCATGAAAAGTTTTTATTATTTGACATATGTAGCTCCCCCTCGACAAACTTATTTGCAGTTTGCTCCCCCTCGACATCATAATGTTTTCTTCTATTCTCCCCCTCGAAATAATGCTCCCCCTCCACATGATAATTCAAATTCAAGTGCCCCCCCTCCACTTGATCTCTTAACCTACTTTTGCTACTTGTATAAGAAGGTGATGCCAAGTTTGCTTCAACTGCATCGGGAGTAGATGTCAAACAATTAGAATGTCTGGATGATTTTCAAATTTGATTATCTTAAGCATTGATTTCGGCATCTGCAGCTCTATCTGGAACACCAAAAATTAAATCATAATCAAAATCATACATATTATGACTTTCAAATTCAACTTTTGATTCATTAAGAATTGGTTTTTGTTCGAAAATTTTCAACTTGTTTGACATAATAATCATCGAACGTGTAACGCCCGTGTTTTTGGGCTTTCCATTTTTAGCAATGTAATAGTCTAGGTTAACCTTTATAACCCAATTTGAAATAATAAGAATGTATTATTTGCGAATTATGTGTTTTATACTTATCAGCTTAATTATGTGATTTGATTTAATCAAGAATAAAAATAAGCATAAAAATGAA